TTTATACCTTGCCAAACCCTAACCCTGTCCCAAATCATGTACGTTTAATCGCGCCAATCCCTATTTGTCAGTCGATGTATTTAGTTGTGCCAATCCCTATTTGTCAGTCAATTTATGAACATTCAATTGTATCAATCCCTATTTTTCCATCGATTTATGTACATTTAAAAAGCAATATCTTGAATTATTTTTAAAAAACTAATTAAAAATATAAAAAATATATTCCAATTTTAATTTAATTTTGATGACAATAAAAACCGGGTTGTGTAATAAAAAAAAGATTTTCTTAACGATCGATTTCAAAATTTAATTTTGGTGTAAAACGTTTTTAAAAAATTATGAATATTAGCGTTTTTTTAGTAAAATTTTTTAAACTTCAAAATCAAATTAGAGCACTTTCTGTTAATTTTCAGACCTATGTTTTTATACGATTCTTAATCAGCATAAAATTCTCTATCTTAATCAAGAAAAAAAAAAAAAAAAAAAAAGGAGGGGGGGGGGGGGAAGAGAAACTGCAGTAGCGCCTATTTATTGTATACATAAGTTATTAAATAAGCAAATTTATTTGAAAAAATATTAAATAATGATTAAACTCCTAGAAAAAAATAAAAAAAAATAAAGTCAGCAACAAATTTTTCCAATTATTTTGTTAAGAACACTTACATGTTCAAATCTAGATATATTGACTTGGTAACTTTTCCTATATAGTGCTTCATATGTTAGTAATACTTAGGTATCCTTTTTTTCTGTTACGGCTTCCCAAAACTGGCGCAACAATAACGGAACTTTATCGGGCCTTTAAAGAATTCGTTGGCATTGGCTAGCCATTTTCGGACCAGTATATACTTGCTGTCTGGATATATATATATATATATATATATATATATATATATATATATATATATATATATATATATATACAGGGGTGGATCCAGCATTTTTTGGTGTTTAAGATAGCTAACTTCCAGACATGTAGCTAACTCCAAACATTTACATGTTTATACTTATGTCAAGTAAGGATGGTTTGCAAAAAATTGCGATGATTGGAGTCTGGGAACAAAAAAGCCCTAAAATTTGAGACGTACCTGCCCCAAACGTGAGAGCAACAAGTTGATAAAATATTTTTTGTACTATTTTCAACAAGACTTATATTTATCAATAAATTTTAAATTTCATAGTAAAATATTTTAGCGCTCAAAAATTATGACCATATAAAAATTGTGACCCCCTCGAATTGAGGGGGATTCAAACTTTACATGGTCATAATTTTTGAACGCTGAAATATTTTACAATGAAATTTAAAATTTATTGATAAATATAAGTCTTAATGAGAATAGTACAAAAAATATTTTATCAACTTGTTGCTCTCACGTTTGGGGCAGGTACGTCTCAAATTTTAGGGCTTTTTTGTTCCCAGGCTCCAATCATCACAATTTTTTGCAAACCATTCTTATTTGATATAAGTATAAACATATAAATGTTTGGAGTTTGCTCCATGTCTGGAAGTTAGCTATCTCAAACACCAAAAAATGCTGGATCCGCCCGTGATATATATATATATATATATATATATATATATATATATATATATATATATATATATATATATATATATATATATATGTATATATATTTATATATATATATTTGCAAAACAAAAAGTACTTTCTATAAGCTTTGAAATAACTAGTAAAAACAAAAATAAAACGTCAAACTCTTTTTTAAAATTTAATGATGATAATTTTGCCGCGCATATCCTTAACTGTCAGTCAATGAAAGGACATTTACTGTGTTTACCCCCTAACGTTTAGTCATGCATGTTTATTATCCATCACTTATCTCTAACGGCCAGTTAATGAATGTATAACTTTAAATATAGTTAATGAACAATAAATATAAATTTAAAAAAATTGTACAATTTGTAATAAAATGTTTATTAGCAGTGCGGGTTGTGTTATAAATTTAAAATGATTTTAAAAGACTTATAAAAGTACCGTAAATTAAAATAATAATGTTGCCAACATTATTATTTTCCAACATTGTTGGAAAATAGTATATTTATCCAACATTGTTGGAAACCATTTTACTGGAATCGAAAATATTTTCTATGCATACAAGTTTAAGTATATACTTTTGTAATATATTTGTTTTTTAAGCTTTTTCACTCATCACTCATTAAAAAAATATGAAAATTTTGAAAAAAAAATAAAAATAAAAACAGCTCAGCTAAAAACAAAATTAAAAGGAAATTAAGGGAAAACATGTTAGGCATATTTTATTCAAACAACTTTCCGGAGTTTTAAAGTATGACCTGGATAATCTATGATATTTACTTTCTAGTCATTTATTACAAACATTTATGTTGCTACGTGTTACTACAAACATTTATGTTGCTACGTGTTACTACAAACATTTATGTTACTACGTGTTACTACATACATTTATGTTACTACGTGTTACTACAAACATTTATGTTACTACGTGTTACTACAAACATTTATGTTGCTACGTGTTACTACAAACATTTATGTTGCTACGTGTTACTACAAACATTTATGTTACTACGTGTTACTACAAACATTTATGTTGCTACGTGTCCAGAATGTGGATCACGAGCATAATTAAATTCAATAACTCACAAATATAGCTGGTTTTTATAGTCCACTTGGATTGATATGGATCCTTAAACAAGTTTATGGAAAAAATCAATTTTATTATTATTAATATGTTATTAAAATATATCCACTAGACTTCAAGAACTATTTTTTAACAGCAAAGCTGTTTAACTACAAGTTGGTCCCTTTTTCTAATATTGCTGTGCTAAAATAATCTATCCATGATTAAAATGAACCTTTGACTTATGCCTATGTCAAATTTAATTTTAGAGTTTTGAATGTTAAACCAAAAATTTAAACTTACACAATTTATGGCTGTGTTTTATTTTTTGCCTCTCAAGTAACTAACCAGTGGCTTTTCATCTGTAAGATGACAGGATGAAATGAAAAGCGTTTAGCTTTTAAGCCATAATGAAATGGTTGTTAAATATAATATAACGGTAGAACCTTGTTAGATAATAGGGTAATTACTGTTTATTATACTAGTTTTTTTTTTTTTTTTTTTTTTTTTTTTTTTTTTTTTTTTATTCATATATTTGCCGTACATATAACATTTACAAGTTTCGTAAATTAATATTTACAAGTCTCGTGAGTCAAAATATATATAGTGAAATTTATAATTAAATAGTACAGGCCGGACTTCAAGAAGATCGTAATGATCTTATCACGAAGCCCTTACAATGTGTTTGATATGTTATTATGATTATGTTAAATATATATATAAATATAAATATATATAAAATATATAAATATAATTATATATTAAGTACAACTATGTTTATATATTCTTTAAATTTAGCTCATAATAAAAAATAAACTCGAAATAAGCTCAGTATAAAATATTAGACATAACTAGCAGCATAATAACTAAACTTGATAAGAAAAAATCAAGTGTTTTTTTTGTGTGTAATAAACACATTTTGATATATTGTTTGAGAAATTTGAGAAGAAAAAAAAAAAAGATTCATTTAGATAATACACATAAACGAGTCAGTTCACTTTGTAGTTGATATATATGTATTTTAATTTATAGTCTTAAAAGAATTCTGAGTATCTGTTTAGATTCAGTATCAGATTTTTTAACTTTTTTTTCAAGAAATTTTGATTGCAAATTGAATCTAGATTGCAGATTGATTTATTTTTAGTTACTAGTTTGTTGTATAAATAAGAACCCCGATATGAAATTGAGAACTGGGAAAGTTTTGTTTTTTTGAAAGGTGTAATAAAGTTTCCTTTTTCTCTTGTGTTATATTTATTAACGTTATTTATAAAATTTAAAAGCAGTTAATCACTTCAATCACAAAGCATTAATGTAGCTAGAATGTTTGTAGCTACCGTCATAACATGGTAGGAACATAACAACTTTTGACATTGATTTACTCAAAACTACTCACGGATCAGTTAGAGCCTTGTGAAACTAACGCGACGATGCGATCTTTTTTTCCGTAAACGGTGGCTCCCTATTTAAACGGTGACTCCCATTTTTGGGATAAGTAAATTTTAAACTAAAAATTATAAACAAACGTTGAGACGAGGAACGGTGAAAAACCTTGAAAATGCACGTGCGTTTTAACGAGAGATGTTTTTTCAAATCGATTATTTAAATGTTTTTATTTTAAAACAATTACTACACTTTAAGTAAAATGAACTGTTAAAAGAAATTTGGCTGAGTTTAATTTTATTGGTTAAAAAGCAGTTAATATTAGATATATATATATATATATATATATATATATATATATATATATATATATATATATATATATATGCATTTTTTTTTTATAACTGATATAATAACTTAAAGTTTATAAACTTTAACTTATTATATCAGTTATAAAAAAAAATAAATGCATATAAAGTAATAATAAATTTATGATTTTCTATTGACATGACAATACTATAATAGACTATAATGGGGTTATAGTAGGGGTTATATATTACTACTTATTATATAATTTATAGTCTAATGTCAAAGTTCATTATAAATTATACTGTTACTCACTTAATAGAATTCTACAGTTATACAATTATAGTGTTGTTTAATTATTGTGCATTGCTACCTATAGCACTTATAATTCAATAGAATATAATCAGTATTTTATTTAATGTAATAATTTACTTGTGGTTAAATTTATTTGTTATAGAAAAGATTATATCATGGTGGCCAGCGGTCTTTGAAATCCTTGAAATCCTGGAAAAGTCCTGGAATTTTATAGATCCTGGAAAAGTCCTGGAAAAACACCCCTTTATACAAAAAATCCTAGAAATCCTGGAACTTTTTTTTATAGAGTTCAATATTTTCGTTTTCTTGTTTTTATCTTTTACAAAACTTTTCGTTTAATTATATATTTTCTGGTATGATGAAAATATTTTTAATAATTTTACTATCTGTATTATTAATTCTACTAAATATTTAGAAAATAGAATATACAAATAATATATATAACAATTAATATATAATATAACTAACATAACGCCCAAGTCAAAGAACTGTCGTTTCCAAACAGAATGGCTTTACAATAAAAAGTATTCTTCTTGGGTAAAATTATGTTTTTCAAAGAAAGCAAGATGTAATTGGTGTCAAAAAATATTAATATTTCTAACATGAGAGTATCTGCATTAAATTCTCGTGCAATCGGTAAAAAGCATAAAGAGCATGCAAGAACACATAATGCAGCTGATATGTTCTTTACTGGTAGTTTTTTAGTTATTTGATTTGATTTTTTACTTTTTTTTTTGAAAATGTTTTTGAATTTTGGAATGCTTGGAGCAGATTGATTAGCTGTGCACTTTACCGGATATTAATTTTTTTTTACGCATTTCGTTCCTAGATTTTACTACAGAAATATCTGGCAATAACTGCTTTTGTTAACTTACAAGAACATTTTCCTAATTCAAAAAATGTTTTAAATGACAAACTGGCACAACCTACTATAGAGGATCTTCAATCTCCAGCTCTGGTTACTAAGGCTGAAATAATAAGGAACTTGAATGTTGTAATGTCACATTTTTCATTAAGATTGTGCTTAAATTTAAATGAAATATTTAAATCTATGTTCTCTGATATTACAATAGCATCAGAGTTTGCATTAAGCAAAACAAAATGTGGCTACCTCATAAATTTTGGTTTAGCACCATACTATCGAGAGCAACTTATATCTGCAATCAGAGCATCACTCATTTTTGTTTTGTCATATAATGAGAGTATGAATGTAATCTTTAAAAATGAACAAATGGACTGTGGAGTTAGAAACTGGGGTTCAAATTCTGGTGTTGTAAAAGCTAGATATATTGATTCTTAGTTCCTCAGATGCCCTAATTCACAGAATTTATTTGACAAACTCATTGAAGCAACAAAGATCTTGGAAAACTAGCTTAAGTATCAATGGATGGTCCTATAAAAAATGATAATAAATTATCTTATCTTTTATATTTATATATAAGTTAAGGGCATTTCAGCATTTTAATTTTTGGATTTTATTGTTTCACAGTTTCTACGCAACTTGCTGGGTAGAAGATGAAGGTGTGGCTTCTAGAGGCATTATTATATGGCCAAATATGGTTAAAATTATAAAATATTGGGAATCACTATGCAAAAGCAGACGTCCTGAAAATAAGATCTATGAAGTTCTGGTAGATCATCATCTTCACAATTTTGTACATTTGCGAATGCAGTTTTTTTAAGAACTTGCTAAAAAATTGAAAGGATTTTTAATTCTATTTCAAACAGACACACCTGCGGTTGCATTTTTATCTAACAGTTTAGAAAGCATGTTGGGAAGTTAGATGAAAATGATTCCCAAACCAAACATTTTAAATGAAGCTGCAATTGCATATAGTTTTATAAAGATTGAAGTAGGTAAATCAAACAACCAACTAGATCTAATATATATAAATATATATATATATATATATATATATATATATATATATATGTATAATATATATGTATATATATATATAATAAATATATAATATACATATATTTATTATATATATTATATATATATATATATATATATATATATATATATATATATATATATATATATATATATATATATGTATACTATATATATATATATTTATTATATATATATATATATATATATATATATATGTATATTATATATATATATATTTATTATATATATATATATATATATATATATATATATATATATATATATATATATATATTTAGATAGATAGATATAATATTGTGGTCAGCGTCATCAAGCAATTGATGACGCTGACCCCAATAGGTCAGCAAAATATCATTAATATATTATTATATCAAAATATATTTAAAAAATAGTTACACGCTGCCTTTTTTATTGAGATCAATTTATATATTTATAAACATATCATATAACAAGAAATGACTTTTAAAGATTATATGTATATATATATATATATATATATATATATATATATATATATATATATATATATATATATATGTATATATATATATATATATATATATATATATATATAATCTATATATATACATATATATATATATATATATATATATATATATATATATATATATATATATATATATATATATATATATATATATATATATATATATATATATATACATGTATATGTTTGTATGAGTTTGTACAATTTTATTTGTACAAACTTTACATAAATATATGTATGTATATATGATTAATATTAAACACAAACAATTATATGTATGTATATATGATTTATATGCGTATTCAAATATAAATATTTAGTTGTTTTGTTCTAAGGCAATATATTTTGCATTTACTGGTCCATTTTATTATTGAGAAAAAATCAATATATCCTTGAATAACCCAAAATTTCCTTGAAAAATCCTGGAAATATCCTGAAATTTTAAATTTACTTTTACCTGGCCACCCTGTATATATACTTTAATTTTAAAATTTTATATCATAATTTTTTAGTTTTATTTTAAATTTTTATTATAACTTTGTAATATTTTATATCTTTGTGGCTACCTCTGCCCTATCTCTTGATCCAATTGTATCCCCAAGATCTTCATAAAAAAATGCTACAAAAAAACAAACTATACAAACTATAGAATTTTGTTATTATTCTTATCCTACACACTCTACATGACCGTTTTCTGGATTTTTCTGCTTGCTTATTCTTATCTTTACAATGCAAAATTTTTTGCATTATTCATGTTTATCTTAAACCCTTTTACCTTTATATTGAGCTTTACTTTAAAACTATAACTCAATCTTTTGTTTTTATTGATTTCATCTTTAAACTTTATTGCTCAACTCAAGTGGTATTATTAGCATGTCATTATTTTATTTCATGAAAACAAGATTCTCAATTATATCTAAGTATAAAAGTTAAATGACAATGAAATTAAAATTTTTATATAACTATTAAAAAATAGAGTCATATCATAGATTTAGCATTCTTGATTTACGAAAAAAAAGTATACGAAATGTTGGCAAGTATAATATTTCTATTAAAATGGATTCATAAAAAGGCATTCTATAAGATATCTCAACTTTTTGTATTTATGCTTTTTGTACTTTGTGCAACTTTTTGTATTTATATTATGTATTATGTATTGTATTTTTCCTTTTTTTTTTACTTTCTAAATATGGTTTTTGGTTCATGCAGTAATTGTACTTACACTATTCAGGTTGTCTATGTGAGGTAAGTAAGTCATTTTAAAGAAATTACAATGATTTTTAGCTAACTATATTATGAAGCAGTTAAACTAAATGATCTGACAATTTTCTTATTATATTGAGATTTGCATACAACTTAAGTTGCTTTGTCTTTAGTGTTGCTGTAGAAAAAAAAATTTCATTTTGATTTAGTTCATTGTTTAACTTTTTAAATCTGCTGCAACCAAAATCAGAAAAAAATACAGTATTTCTTTTATACTCACGAAATTCATATCCTTTTTTTAAAAAAAAATATAAAAAGGTTTAGGATAAGGTTATATGATAAACTAAAGGCTTTTAGGTAACCCTACCCTTACCTTACCTTATCTGTATATATATTTTATGGATGCTCTGTTTATGTATAAGAAAATATGAAAAAAAAAACAGTCTAGTTGGATAAACAATATAAATAAATGCAAAAAGTGTCAGTCTAACCAAAATTTTTTATATAATAGATAGTATATATTTATTTAGTTGGCAAGAATGCATCTAAAGAAATAATTACTTTTACACAGAAAAATATTATTATTATTAATGATTCAGGGTTTTTATTATAAATTAGACCTCTATGCATTACATGATTAGATATTTGTTATTTGGATTACTTTAACTCTTATTTGGATTACTTTAACTCTTATTTTATCTGGATTACTTTAACTCTTATTTGTAATTTTTCTCGTTTTATCTCAGCCAGCCATTAAAATACCTATTTAAATAAGAAAACACATAGATAAAATTAAAAAAAACAACACTTAAATAACAAAGATGCAAAATTATCTTAATGTACCATAAAAGCTTATTATTATTGTCCATCAGCTTTATTATTATTATTATTGTACATCCTTTTATTATTATTCATCAGCTTTTTGAAGTTTGTACATTAATACAATTTTTTTTTATTTTCAAAAACCATAGACAATCTTTATCGCATGTTTAAAACATTTTGTAAAATGATTGATAATATAAATTTATAATTTAAAGTTTAAATAAAAATTTTTTTTTCATCCCTGAGTAATAATCCCTAATAACTTTTTTCTTACTGAAATATTATTAAAATTTGTTGCTATTTTAAATTTAATAGTCATTTTTTATAGTAAAGACGAGAATAATAAACAATGCAAGAGAATATAAGTTGGCTTTCTGCTTAAAACAAGTTTTAAACGAAAAGTAAACTAATATAAACAAATTAGTTGTAGTTTTAAATCACTAAATATAAATATAACAATGATAAGTTTAATTAAATTGTGTTCTGAGTTTTTTAAAGAAAGTTTAATTGATATGATATCAATAAACTAAACCAAATTTAAAAAATACTTGTTGTTACCAATTTTCTACTTTTGTGTTTAATTAGACCTAACGATTAGTTTGCTTTAAATAATATTTAAAATTTTTCATAGTTGACTAAACTTCTATGTAACTGGTTTAAAACTAGTTAACTGCAAGCGTTGTCATATTTGTACTGCATATGTAATTCTTGTGCAAAACTAAAACAAGAGAGAGTAAACCATAATAAGTTTTTTTTTGTAACAAAATTAACCAAATTCAAGTTTATGTGCAGAAAAAAAATAACATTGAGTTTTTTTTTTTTGTTGTGAAAAATTAAATTTTTTGTGTTGATTTGCCAGTCAGCACAAAAAATTATTGTTTGTCAATGTGGCAAATCATTCACACAAAAAATAATTCATTTTACATTTAAAGTATTGTGGAAAAGTGTTTGAATGCCATTCTTGCGCCAACACATTTAAATGTGTAAATATTTACTGCTGAAAAAAAAATTAATAAGACGTTTTAAAGAGCAACATTACAAAGTGTCATGGAAAAGAAACAACATTTCTTAACTTTTTTCTGTTAATTTTTAAGTTTTCTTTTTCTATGTGTGCTAAATCTTTAAAGTTAAATATTGAAATACTATTGTTTATTTCTTTTCTATTTGTTGTTTTATTTTGAAAATGTTATAAGTTGATTTTAGTGTAATGCTTTTAAAATAAAAGGTATACTTTTTGTTTGAGTGTTTTGAATTATAACTTTTTTATAATTTTTTATTTATCAATTGATTATTAAAAAATTTTAAATTATATATTTTTATTCAGAGTAAGGTATCAGGAGGGAGTTTAATGTAAGTCTCATTATGCACATTGTTACGCAAATTGTTAAAAAAAGTTACGAAAAAGTTAAGCTTGCTACGCAAAAAAAAAAAAGTTAATAGATTGTTTGTTTTTTATGTTAATTCACCTCCTTAAGGTCAAGAAGGCCACTACAGACTAGAAGGCTACTTAGTTGTGGTTATAACCCTCTCTCAACTCTATAACTCCAAAAAACGAACCTTTACAAAGAAGGTTGCTGCGTAGAGAAACAAGTTGAGCATGGTACTACCATAGACATGGTGGGGATTAAACTCGAAACCTTGCGCTTATAAAATGAGAGATCTACCACTACTCTACTACCGCATTATTAGATAGTTAACTCCCGGTTATTCTAACTTCTACAAGGAATAAGAATTTATTTTGTATAAACAAAACTCTGTTTTAAATTTTTTTAGAGTTTTCTTTGTGTGTAAGACTGCAGTGCTTTTCACTGTAGTACTCTTGTTTATAATTACACTGATATCAAACCATAACTTCTTTTAAATTTAAAAAAAATTTAATATCTTTTTTAATTTTTTTTTAATAGTAAATTTTTTTCTACATCTTTTATCAAAACTTAATAAAAATAATACTTATAAAAATTCTGTTAGATATCATACTATATTTTTCTTTTATTATTTTCTATTTCTATATTTCTTAACCTTTTTTTATTTTAGTTTGGATACTGTCGAGACATGGTTTAAATTTTGTAAGTTTCATGAATTGAAATTTACTCTATTGATCCTTAGCTAACAGTTCAGGAAAGAAAAATTTAACTTTAAGGTAAGAATAATTTATTTTATTGTGTAACTTTAAGAAATGGTTATAATGTTTAATTATGCAAATGTAAATTTAAAATTTTAATATTATTTTGAACAATTTTAAGTATTCTTAAGTACTTAATGCATAGGAGAGGATTTTACTAATTTTTTTATATTTTTCCACATATCCTGAGCCTAGTAATACCCCACTATTATTTATTTATAATGTGAAAGGGAAAAGAAAAAAAAAACAGTATTACAAATTAGAAAAATAAACTTTCTGATAA